GTGTCCCCGCGCCGCGCCTACGATCCCTTCGTGACCGCCTGGCTACTGGCCACTGTCACTCGCGGCGTGGAGCCGGTGACTCCCAAGCTCTCTGGCCCGCGGTGGCCCGCGTAAGCCCACACCCGGCGCTGGCTCCTTGAAGCCGGGACCGCGGGCTCCCTGCCGGTGGCTGCGCCCTCGCCTCGCCCGTCGGGGAGGGAGGGACCGAGGCCTGCGCCGGGAGCTCCCTGGCGGTGGCAGGGCCGCCCCCCTCGAGGCTTGCACCCCCCTCTCATCCTCGCCAAATCCCAGAAAGCCCTGGTCCCCTTCGTCACCCCGGGGGCTTCTAATCACTCCGTATCGATTTCCCTAACTCTTTTCATCCCGTTGAAGACACATCTTAAAACACTCCAGCCCGGAGTGTGCTCTGGGCTTTATCCACACTAATAAAATGATTTACCCTTCTATCTGCGCTTTTCTCACAGAGGAAAATCGTTCAAGCCCTGGCTATTTGCGTGTGATCAGTAAATATTTAGTGCGGTGACATCCTCAGCTTGGCTTCGGATCGATTCGGGGTGGGGGGGCCCTGGGAGGTGCGCGCTGTCCGGGCGGGGCCTTCCCAGCCCCCCGAGGGCTCCTCCCGCCCTCGCCGCGGGCCGCTGATTTACGGCCTCGGCAACCAGCAAAGGGGGGCGAAAGCTCGCCTGGAAAATTGGCTTTTCAACCTTTTTACTTTTGACATTCAGCCACTTCCCGCAGGGTCTTATTCTCTCCCACCTCCAAGGGCGCCCTGGGCGCGCCGTACGTCCTTCCTGCTACGGCGCACCGCGCTAGGGCCTCGCGCACTGGGTCCACTTTTCCAGACCTGCCCGCAACGCGGTGCGGCCCAGTCCCCTGCTCCGGGGGTCGTCTCCATCGGGCGCGGGGTTCTCCCCCCGACCCCACCTCCACACACCTCAGAGGGCGAGGGGGGTGGCAAAGCCAGGAGCTGCTGTCGGGTGTCAACTTTACCCCTTTCCTTAGCAGCGAAAAGAGCTTAGAGGTGGTGTACCGGGGGCCTCCGGCCCGGATCTCGGCTGCCCAAGGGCCGCGGCAGCGGCTGTTACAGCGTCAGTGTCCCCCGGTCCTCCCTCCTCCCCGGGGCACACACTCCTTCGTTATTGCAGGGCTGCGCCCTGGACCTGGGATACCGGGCAGTGGGGCCGGCCCTAGGCAGAGCATGGCCCGCTCTCGCCGCCTCCTCTTGGACCCGCTACCTAGGACCACTACGTTGTCCGGGTTAGAGGACGTAAGGCGTATCAGCCCCTCGGGTTCCACTGCTGTTGGGCCAGGGGCGCAGGCCTGAAAGACAGCAACACTGGCGCCCACCTGTTAGCTGGCCGGCTCCCCTCTCACCTGTGTTCCGGGCCTCTCCGCTTCCCCTGGGGCCCAAGGAGGAAAGTGCGCGACCCTGAGGGGTCCACGCTCCCCTCCCCAACGCTTGCGCCCTCTCCTTTGTCCCACAAATGATTTTCTAAACCGCCTTATCTGCAGACTATATCTTTATACTAATGCATACTTAATTGGTCCATCTTGACTGTCCATATAAAACAATTTAATTAGGGTGCTTTCTTGCTTTGGAGAGCAAAGAAAAAAATCTGCCCAGTGCTTATTGTATTTAGCACCAATACAGGCAGAAAATGTAGCACAAGTTTTTGGTTGAAAGAGCACCTCTGTGCCCATTGAAGGGCGTTGATCCGAAAAGACAGAAAGGACAAGTAAAATCGATTTGAAGCGACCCTCTCTGTCCCTTTCACACCATTCAGAAACTCCATTCCTTCTAAGACAAAGACCAGTGCCTTGGGAATTCTCAGGGAAAAAGAGGACTCCAGTCTCAGAAGCCTAGGGCACTTTTTTTTTTTTTTTTTTAATTCTCAATATTGCACTTAAAACCCACGCTGAGTGCAGTGCCCCTCGCGTGCGGGTTTCACAGGCTGACCCCTCCAAAGCGCAAGGCAGAACGCTGACAACCTCCCCACACTCCTGTCGGATAGGCCTTCTGGCCTGGCCAGATCAGCCCTTTAGGGTTAGTGCGGCCCTCACCTTTGACCCCCAGATCCGAGTGGCTGCCAGCGCTACAAGTCTGGCCACAGTTAAAAAAAGAAAAGAAAAGAAAAGAAATCTACTCCCAAACCCAGGGAAATCAATTCTGGTTCAGCCGCCTGAGTCACCTTACCCGATAACCACCCCCCACCCCACACACACACTCCCACTTTTTTTCCTCTTCTTTTGCAATGAACTGCCGTAGCTACCCCTGAAGGAGAGCCTAAGTTGCCAGGGTTGCGACGCTAGGTTGCGGTGAGTTGCCTAGTCTAACTGGTCCTCCATGAGGAACCCCAGATGCTGGTTCTGCGGCAGGCGCCGAGGCTGGGGAAGGTGGTCATGGATGTGACCTGGCCGAGGAAGGGAGGAGGGAGAGGACGAGAAAGGAGGCCAGAGGAGGGGAGGGGAGAGACCAAACTGTGATCACCTTCACCTGCCCTGAGACCAGCCCCTCTGTTCAACAATCCCTCGACCTTCTACTGGGGTTAAAGGGGGCGGGGGCGGAAGGGAGGGGGCACCGCCGAGTTACAGAAGTGGCCTCCTTCTACTAAGAGAATGAGTTCACCGCCTCCCGGGAGGAGCCTCACCATCCATCCACTCTGTATAACTGATGAGACAAACCACAAGTAAAAACTTCTGTAGCCCATATTTATGGTATTAATGAATAGTTAAAAAAAGATTTACACTTCTTATGATCAATATTCCGAGTTATTTCCCTCAAAGTATATAATTACAGTGTCTCCAGAGTTTTCATCATTGTTTGAGGTGGCAAAACCATTTGTAATTTTCATTAGCCAGTAAACATGTAATTAACATTCAGCACTGTGTTTAACTTAATTCCTGTTTAAGACAAGGACAAGAAGCAGCCGAAGAGCGTTAGTTCCATTTGTCAAGTCTGACATACATCTTCCCATAACTGTTTCCTAAAATAAAAGATCCGTGTTTCATCGTTATTCTTCTCTTAAAACAACAACAAAAAATTCATTAGTTAATACTGTATTAAACTGCAAGAGGAAGCGTAGTTTATTCTCAATTTTCGCTAGTTACTGTATTCCTGCATCCTCCATTCGTTCTGGGGACTAGGGGAAGGGAGGGGGTGAATTAAGCATTCTTTATTTGCAGTAGTGAAATGGGGAACCCCTCCCCCCAAAAGAAATAGGTTTCCTCTTCAGGAAAGTTCTAGAACGAGGACCGGAAGAAGGGCACAAATTTGCAGAGGAGAGGAAAAAAAAATCACCTGGGGGGGGGAGGATTTGAGTTAAAAGTAGAAAATGAGGATTCCAACAGATTCCTAGGAAAAATGTTGCCCTTCTATTTCAAGTTCTATCTTTGATCCAGGACGAGAGGAGCCTGTCTGCCAGACTTCGAGGCTGCTGCTTTTTCTCCCTCCTCTCCCACCTCTGTTTTTTTCCCAACTTGCTTTAGGATTAGCCTCCATCCCTCTGGACCCCAAACAGTGGAATTTGGCTGTGCCTTGGGTCGTCTAGCTTTGCAGTATCGCCTATAGTTGTTGGCGGTTTTCTGCTGAGGCTGAGCCGTTTGCTCTAGCCTCCTTCCACTAAACTCATTAAGTTGGGAGATTTTTTTCAATTGGACGGGTGTTTTTAAAGTCTCGTCTTTCCAGCCCCAAACAAGGTGTAACAACGCACTCTTCCTTCTAAGGAATGAGATGAGAGACAAGGATCACTCCAGACATCTCCTACCTACGGTTTGGGGTTTTTTTTCTTAAAGGCGAGGCTTGCATTCCTCAGCAGCTATGTACAAAGCTCCCTGAAACCTTGTCTCTCTAAAGTTAGTGTGCAGGGTTTTCCAAGGCTGAGGGCGCCTAATACATGGGGAAGCACTTCCTTGAGGTGGAAGATCTCTCCCTTCACCTTTCCTCTTTTTCCCTCAGGCTAGTGCCTACTTTTTATCAGTTTGCACAATCGCTTAGATAAACACCGAGGAGAAGATTCTCTTTAATTATCAAAGACACATCTTTCCAGGGGGCCAACAAAGCGTTTATTTCACCCGCCAAACTAAAGGAGAGTTATTCCAGTTTAGAAGGAAGATGCAAGCGGTTTGGGACCTTGAACAAGGCAAATATGGTTTTGGTATGTTTGCTTACAGTATTTTTTTCTCTCTCTCTCCTTTCTCACTTTTCTCCTTGTGCTGTGTGGGGTTGGGGATGACTTGGGGCTTTTCAAAAAATCGGTTTGCTAACGTGTATGCAATGCCTAGGACTGTGGTTTAAGGGGTTCGGGGAAGGGAGGAACAGAGTCAATTCAATGCCTTGCTATATTTTATTGCGTATGTGTGGTAGGAGAAGGGATGGTGGGGGGAGAGGGTGAGAATACAATTGCAAAACTGCCAAAATATGATTAAATCGAGGGGTAAAGACTGCGGTGCCTCCCATCTCCTTACCCTGTCTCCGCAAACTCATCTCCTACCACAGAGCACACTAAAGACCAGTCCTGTAAGCGTGGCGTTCCTAGCAACAGACCACTCGGTTTTACAGCAAAAGAGCTGTTAGGCTCCCACGAAGTATCAGAATTTACGGTTCGATGTGCCTCTGCGCTGCATTTTGCAACCTTGTGCAACTGACAGGCAGCCAGGCAGGGAGGGAGAGCAGCCCTGCCCGGCGCCCTCGGCCGCGGCTCGGGGAGGCGAGCGCTCGGTTAAGCTAGGAGGAGAATCGCGAAGAGAAGGGTACTCACCATCCGGCGGGGTGGTGGAGCTGGCGTGCGGATTTCAGGCAAACGTTTACCTTTTTGCTGTCTATTGCAACCGCGCCGGGCTGACTTAAGAAGCAATTCTGTGCTCTCTCCAGAACGTTCAAGGAATGGTTTCTCATTTTAAAAAAGCCAGCGAGAGAGACGACAGAGACAGAGAGAAAGAAAAAGAGAGGAGGGGGTGAGGGGGACTCACATAAACCCAGTTCAAAAAAAAAAAAAAATCACCTCTTAGCCAGTGACTCGGGGACCGCAGAGGTGGCGAGATCCCAGTCTGGTCCAACCAAGCCCGAGCCAATTAATTTTAAATCCTGAAAAATTATTCAGATTAAAATGTACTGAAGTTTCATTCTCCTATGTCTACGTGAGCCCAAAGTCGTTTCCCTTTAAGAGCTCCTTTTCTTTTAAAGTTGAATTTTAGGCAGCGAGGACTCTTACACTAGGGGGCAGACAGATACTGTATTTGCTCCAATCTTAAGCAATTTTTTCCCTCCCAGCATATGCTCTGATTTAGCACTGTAAATTTTTCAGAGGACCCAACTCTGACAGCCCCTGGTGATTTTCAAAGTACCACAAGCCAGTGGTTAAAAATTGCATTGACTTGGAAGTTCAGAGGGACACAATGGAAGCCCCTTTCCCTATTCATGGAGCTCCAGTGTGGTGGAAGAGAAAAACACACACGGACTAGATTGAGGGAAAGGAGGAATTCAATGAATCCTGGTGGAAAGCACTGGTTTCTACTGAGTTCAGAGTTAAACTCAGTATTTACTGGGGTCTGTATTCATATTGTGATTTAATCTGTAAAGAATTACAGCCCGTCAGGCCACTTGCTGCAAGAAAATCAAATTCCGGGGTTTTTGTTTTTTTGTGGTTTTTCCCCCCAGATTAAGACAGACGTTTTTCCAACTTTATCCGGCCAAATTGAAGCTTGCCATTCCTTTCATTAAAATAAATTTACATCTGCAATAAAAGACCGGGATGGATTTTTTTCTTTTTAACAGTAGCAACATATTCATATTTATGTTTTAGTCTTGGAGCTGTTTTGCTCAAGGCAAATGAGCGTCTCTAATGAAGACATTTTAAAATAGTTCCCCTCCTTTTTCTTCTCAGTCTGTAGTCCTCTCTCTTCTTCTTTACAGTAAAATTAACTATAGTTCATACATTGATTTTGTTTTTCTTTTGCTTTTTAACAAAGTCCCTATAACTGAATGCGTCCTAAAATACAGAGTAAAAACCTTTGACTTCATGGCAGTTCTGTAGTGGTGCAGCCAGCAGGCTCCAGTTCTGTAGGAGATGGTTGGGAAATACTTCATTTAGAATCTAGGGCCATCAGAGTGTACTTCAAATTCCAAAAAAAATTTCTAACTTGATTGCAGAAACTCTCTCTTCTACAAAATTTTCCCCTCATATGTTTGTAAAAGGTGGTCTTGCCATGGAAGTCTCTGCAGTCAGGAAGCGAGATTAAGATTTCCCTGTAATCAGTTCTTCTCATCTTCTATTAAAATTGAGGTGGGTATGCCCATTAGATTTCCTATCTCAACCCCAGCCCCACCACATCTCTGCTGAGTTTGCTCCTAAGACATCTGTGGCATTAGGTAATTCCTCAAATCATAAAGGTTGAAAGGAAAAAAAAAAAAAAAATGTTCCCCTCTGAGATGATCTCTTTGCTACCCTTCTTCTCTTTAAGAGAAAGTTATACTGTGTCTCTTATCCACCTGAAATTCTCAGCCTGGCTTTGCTCTGTGGCAATCTCATTATACAGCAGGTTTATGATAGTTCAGTGTTCACTGTAGTGTTGGTTTTTGTTTTTTGGGTTTCTTTTTTTTTTAAACAACTTTCAAATAATCCCAGCACCTGCAGCTCTAGGGAAATATGTGATTTCAGCTGAGAAAAGGTTAAGGCTAAGCAGGTTTCAAGAGTAATGCTTATAGAAGATTTTTCCTTCCCTGAAAACTAGCCCGTCTCTGCCCACATCTTTGCTTAATCCCTACCTAGTATTCTGTGAGTGTGTATAAAGGGTATTGAATGCAAAGTGCAAGCGTCATATGCCAATAACATATATAATTTATTTTTTTTAATTTCCTCTCTGATTTTTTTTAGCTATCAAGGATGCTTTTCTGCAGTCGTTTATTAACTCTTTACATATGTTTATTTTTCGTGGAGCTCGGCGTCTTTTTGTGTAAAATATTTTAATTGTTCGTAAACCTGGTTGACTTACCAGTTTACAGTTTTTCTTGGCACAAAGTGTGCATGATGGAGTCAGAATTTTCCTCTATAAATATAGGATAATCATAATCCACTAAACAGGTCATAATCAAGCAGAAAGGTTACTGCTTTGGAATATAGCGTCTTCCGGGGCAATTCTAGATGTTTGATGTTTAAAACCAAACACCCTGAAATTCAGAGACACAACCACCTCAATTATTGTCACACATTGGGCACAATGGCATAGGCTATGAAGTTGTTATTGCAGTGAATCTCTAGAGGTAGACTATGGCTTGTGTGTAGTTTTTGTGAGTTGTACTGGTACTACTTCCAGTTTGGGGCAGAATCCCTGCGTGTGTTTTAATGACTATCTGAATGCTTAAGAGGAACTTGAGGAACAATGAAGTCCGTACTCAACCGTTCTATGACCTAGAAGCATAGTCGCTTAAGTCTTTGTCTGTATACATTGACAAATGTACATCTGATACATGTGCGCTTACACGTGTGTACAGAGGGTGTGCATAAGCGAGGCCGACGGCTGCCTCCGCCTGTCCATCAGCTGGCCTGGACGGTCTTTTTCGCTCTCACGACGACTCGGTGTGTGGCAGGACGTTGGCTTTCGAGTTAGCTAGAACCAACGAGAGAGAATAAAGTTGAGGAAAATTGATTTTAATTGCATCATGACAAAGAGATGAAGTCTACTGCTTCTCAGCATCCGAGATGCTTTATTTGAACAATTAAAATGTCAGGCCACATACCTGTGAAATGTTAACTCTACGAGAAAAAGACAGACACCAAACAGATTTTTCCCCTAAATTTTTTTTAAAAATTAAAAAAAAAAAAAAAAAAAAGAGCCACCAAACCGAGCGAGTAACCAGAGTTGATTAAGAGAAGAGTCTTCCATTACCCGGATTTGGCCAAATATTTCGTTTGTAAAATGCCTGAAAGCTGAGTTCGCGGCACCTTCCCATCCCTGCCCCTTGTCCCTCTGCAAAGAAACCGAGAAACTTTTTTCTTTTTCTGGCACTGCGGGCACAAAGATGAGCCGGCAGTCCCGGGTGGTGCGCGAGCGGCGGATTTCGTGGCATCGCCAAGTTGCGCGAGGCGAAGTCCTCGATCCCATCCCAAGCCTCTTGCAGAGCCTTTAAGAGGCGTTGTGTGTGCGCGCCGTTCTCGTCTCTCCGCCGGGCGGAAACCCTGGGTGCGGGGTGCTGGGCTAGCGGGGGCCGCGCGCCCCGGCC